GAAGAAGATAAGAAGCTAAGATGGAAATTGCGTAAACAATTAGAGGATTATCTTCTTCAGGAGGAAATAAGTTGGAGACAAAACTCAAGGTGTAAATGGCTAAAGGAGAGGGATAGGAATACCAATTTTTTTCATGTGGTGGCAAGTGGATGAAGAAGAAGGAATTTTGTATCAAGTCTGGAGATTGAAGGGGTTACAATATCCACCCAAAGAGAAATAGCAAGGGCTTTTGCAAATCACTTTAGGTCTATCTTTAGAAAACCCCTAAATAGTAGGGTATGGATTGAGGGTATGGAATGGCCAACTTATAGGGATTGGTTGGAAAGGAAATTTGAAGTGGAAGAGATAAGGGAGGTAGTGTTATCTATGGATAGATCAAAGACACCGGGCCCAGATGGTTTTACGATGGCTTTTTATCAAGATTGCTGGGAGATATTAAAGGAAGATCTATGGACTGTGTTTAATGAATTCCACTCTAGAGGGGTGATCAACCCAGGGCTGAACTCCACTTTTATTACACTGGTTCCTAAGAAGAGGAATGCATGTTACCCAAAGGATTTCGAGCCGATCAGCCTAGTCAACAGCCTTTATAAGATTATCACCAAGGTGTTGTCCATCAGAAAAAGGAAAGTGCTCCCAACAATTATAGCAAATAATCAAGGAGCCTTTGTGAAGGGGAGACAGATAACAGATCAGATTCTAATAGCAAATGAGAACTTGGAGGAGTTTAAGATATCCAAGAAAAAAGGGGTGATTTGTAAACTGGATTTGGAAAAGGCTTATGATTTGGTGGATTGGTCTTTCTTGATGGAGGTGATGACCAATTTTGGTTTTGGGGATAATTGGTGCAGATGGGTCTTGGGTTATCAGGAACTGCCATTACTCCATACTGGTAAATGAGACAATGGTCGATTTCTTCCCAGCCTTGAGAGGGATTAGGCAAGGAGACCCCGTCTCTCTCTTTTTATTTACTTTGGTAGCTGAAGTTCTGGGGAGACTAATTTATAGAGCAGATTCCAGGGGCTTAATCAGAGGTTGGAGAGTTGGGAGGGAGCTTGTGCCACTCACACATTTGCAATTTGCATATGACACCATACTCTTTTGTGAAGCAGGGGACCCTA